AAATCACACTCAAGGTGATAACCGGTTACTCTAGCCCGAAATACTGCGACAGACCTTAGAGTTTGCCAGGTGACGGCGACAGAGATACTGGGTCCCTATAATGGGGGCACCTTGGGGGCCTTAAGACTAGTGAGATTAGAACTGTCCTATACAATGCACTTTTCTTGCAGGGACCACATACCAAGGATTTAAACGTGGTTGTTCGCGGGTGTACATTTGTTTGAGTATATGTGTGTTGCATTTGTTTGTGTTTATTTATTTCAAATGGATAAGAATTACAAACGAATAGATATTAATAAAAAAATATGATAAAAAATTTAACTCCCTTTTATATACTTAAACCTCAAAGCATCATATAGGATAGTTTATTTCAACAAAAAAAAAACAACAAAAACAAATAAATATATAGCAAAAATCATGCATCATAACCTTAGTAAAAAAAATGATAAAATTTAGGCAAAAAAAAATATCATGTATCTTTTAGTTTAGCATATATTTTCATTAGAAAATGGAAGGCACATAGTATGTAAAGATTTTTTAGAAAGGAGAGCATTCTAAAGTACAAGAATCCTGTGCCCTTATACTAAGGAGGCCTACTAGACTTTGGACTCTCGTCATCCTTTCAACAGAAGGCAAAGTCTACATCTTCTAAGACTTCTTGCAATTTAGAAAGATGTCATTCCTCAGCTCAAATAGGAGATTATTTGAAATTTTGAAAAGGAGGCACGAAAATACACTCTGATGGAGGCCCTGTAGACACCCAATTTCGTCCGGGGGCATACAAACAAAGAAATGGATGTCTATTATCAAGGAAAGGAACTCCCAAAGCAGGAAAACAACAAGACAGGACATTAGAGGGCCGAAAGCCGAAGGTGCCTTTTCCGTGCCAATGAGATGGCTCCTTCTCCTGCGAAACCTCTTGCTATAATGTTTATCACCTTTCTTGGTTGCTCATTACCTTCCCTAGAATGATCCCTCTGTTCGTCGGAGCAAGAACGACCTCTATGGTCCCTCACGTGCCGTACTTCATGAGGGTGGTAGGACCTTTCTTTCAATACTTGGCGGTGGTCTAACGTCGAAGCGTAGTCTCGACGGTTGACAAAACTTCTCAAGTGACCTTGTTTGATAAGATCCTCCAATTTGTCTTTAAGTGCTGGGCATTCCTCGGGGTAGTGCCCTCTGTTATAGTGGTACCGACACGTCTTCGCTTTGTCCGTCCTAAGAGGGGTGTTCGCCCGCTTCGGTACAATGAGGATCTTGGAGGCTAGAGCCTGCTCCAATATTTTGGTCCTACTCTCATTGAGAGGCATATATGTTGTGTGACGTGGTCCGCGCGAGGGACGAGTACTTAGCTGCTCGATATTCCTCTTTTTAACTGGCTCTCGACCATAGTCTCTTTGACTATAACCTTCGTCAGCCCTAGCCTGATTTCTTGTTTTGGCCAACTCCTCCATTTGCATGTATTTTTCTGCTCGATGTCGGAGATCATTCATGTCTCCAGGCATCTTTTTTGCATAGACTGTTCACAAATGGTCTTGGTTTTAGGGCAGTACTCAACTGATCCAACGCCACGGCTGGGTTAAGGTCGCCGATCTCCATGGCGAATTTGTTGAATCAGTCCATGAAGTTTCTAAGGTTCCTTTTTCTCCTGCCGAATCCCCACTAGCACAAGTGAGGTCATCTTGTACGGTTTGCTAGTGGCAAATTGCAGGGCGAATTGAGATGCCAATTTGCTGAATGAATTAATGGAGGAGCTAGGTAGGCGTGTGAACCAGCTTAACGCCCTACCTTTTAGGGAAGTAGGGAATATACGGCATAACGCGATGTCATCTTGACATCTCTTCGCGCAATAAACGCAAGTCATCATTGAGATTTGGCTAGTCTTCGGTGTTTGGTTGACCTTCATGTCCTGTGGGTTCTTGTTGCATTTAGGGCATTCCATAATGGTACCGCTCCTGTCCGGGTATGCCAAAATGGTGTTCAGATTCGAGGGTGGTTGAGTCAATGTTGAAGGTCCTTTGCGTGTAGCTACCATGTCTTAGTCTTAGTTGGTGAAGTTTAAAGGGGCTAAAAAAGTCTCTTCAGCCCCACGGTGGGCGACAAATGTTCCTGTATTAGGAGACACACCTTGCTAATCACTTGATTATCACAATCTCAGCTTCGGGTCGGGATCCTCACTCTACGTAGTCTGATACGGAGGGGGTGCTTGCAAAAGACACTCTGATGGAGGCCCTGTAGACACCCAATTTCGTCCGCGGGCATACAAACAAAGAAATGGATGTCTATTATCAAGGAAAGGAACTCCCAAAGCAGGAAAACAACAAGACAGGACATTAGAGGGCCGAAAGCCCAAAACAACTGGTTTTAGTAGCCCGGAACGGGCTGTTCCAAAATTGGAACAAGTCGTTCCCTAATCTGGAACGAGTCGTTCCTATATCACTCCACTTTCCAAAACGGCTAAAACACAATGATAGCTTCTTTGTAGCAAATATGCTTTGTTTAATAGCCATAAACACTAAAGCCCACCTTGGCCAGCCATTCTTCTAAAAAACCCTTTTGGAAAAAAACATCCATTCTAACATCCCTTCTTTCTTTTCTCTTGACCTTTATGGCATTGAAATGGTACCAAAAATATACACGGAGAATGCATAGTGAATATTCATAGAGGAAAGATTGAGATGTCCCCGAACAGAGTTGGGAGACTCTTGACTACACATCGATTGGATAATCAATGAGCCACTAAAAGCTTGGGTTCAAAGGAACACATCTCGACAATAATAAAAAATGGCATGGATAAAAAGGAATCGTCATCATTAACCTTAACGCGCACAGGTTAATTTCCCGAAATTAAAAAAAAATTGAATTGCATGTTTAAGACTAAACACATGAGCATAAACTACATCGCATGCATATGAGGTAAGGGCATATGGAAGGGCGTTACACAAAAAAAAAATAATAAAATCACTCCTGTCTTGCATTTTCATTGCAACCATGCATCCATCCATTCTGCTTGCTATAGGTTAGAAGGAGTCATCAGGACGAAGCACAAGCTAAATAGCCAACCATGAGCCAAGCAGTGGCAAACGACAACCTCAAGTGATTCTATGTGCCCACTAAGCAAAGACATATCAACAGTGGAATAGAATAAAATCGACCAAACAAGCAAGTCTGTAAGCATGAAGAGGCCATCGCGCCTTACTCCTCAACTAAATGAAGGATGATCCAAAAAATGCCAAGACCAGGAATGACTTCCTAACCAAAGCCAGGAGTGGCTTCCAAAATAATACTCATCAATAAAGATTGAGCAGATAACATCATCATGGGATGAGATCCCTCCGCCATTGATGACAAATAGAAAAAGGCAAGCTTCAAACATAAAAGAGCCGAAGGTAAACAAAAATGAAATTTTAGGAAAAAAAAACCTATTACAAGCAGACGCCTGGAGAGGCATCACAATACTCACAGGGTAGGGGCAACACTAAAATCCTTATCATCCATTTATTTTCTTTGCCCACCAACACAGGGGCACATCAAGTATATCCTGCCCATCCTCCTTGGGGAAGTTTCCATCACAAGTCAACAATGAGGGTACTGTCGAGTACCTCAAATCAAAGAAGGATCATCGTCGAGTATTCACCCAAGATTTTAAAGGTCCTCCTTCAAAGGACATCAACAACCATCCAAGTCGAGATCTGCCATCGAGCCTCTCAAATCATCAATCAACCACAAGGGCACCATCGAGTACCTCAAGTAAAAAAAAAAAAGGAGCATCGTCGAGCATCCATCAAAGGTTCGAGGTACACCTTTATAAAGGACGTCAATACTCATCTTGATTAAAGAGCCTCCGTCGAGCCTCTCAGATCAAGAACGATAACGAGGGCACCGTTGAGTTCCTCAAAGTCAAAATTGTGATCACCTTTGAGCTCCCACCATAGGCTGGCTGAAGCCTTAAAATCATTCCATCTCGATTGAAGAGCCACTGTCGAGCCTCTCAGATCAAGAACGACAACAAGGACACCGTCGAGTTCCTCGAAGTCAAAATTGGGACCGCCGTCGAGCTCCCACCATAGGCCGATTGAAGCCTTAAAATCAGTCCATCTTGAGTGAAGAGCCTTCGTCGAGCCTCTTAGATCAAGAACGACAGCGAGGGCACCGTCGAGTTCCTCGAAGTCAAAACTGGGACCACCGTCGAGCTCTCACCAAAGGTCAAAGCCTTAAAAATCAGCACAGCTTGATCGAGAGTTGTCGTCGAGCCTCTCAAATCATTAATCAACAACGAGGATACCACCGAGTTCCTTGATGTAAAAAATAGGGATTGCTGTCGAGCTCCCACCATAGGCCGGATGAAGCCTTAAAATCAGTCCAACTTGATCGAGAGTCACCGTCGAGCCTCTCAAATCAGTGAATGACAACGAGGGTATCACCGAGTTCCTCAAAGTCAAAATTGGGACCGCTGTCGAGCTCCCACCAGTGGGCCGACTGAAGCCCTAAATTTCAGTCCAGCTTGGAGAGGCTGAGCTCAAAATATACTCCCTCTTTAACAAGCTCACAAATAAAAGAATTCACTACATGAGACAAGTAGAAGCAACAGGAAGCATCTACATCTAGATGTTTCGAATTTTTGCTTCACTATCACAAGAAAACAATGGAGCATCTACTCGAAGACTGAAGATCAGGTGTATAGTTTGTCACCCTTGTTACCCCATAGAGTATGCAACCCAAAACTCAGCTGCTCTAAAAGGTAATGATTCGAGCAAATACACCTATCCAAGGAAAGCAATGTAGAAGCGTCACACAAAGAGACAAAGAGAAGACCCGGACGAAATGTTTACGTCTTTACGGGTATTCCAAAGGACAAGTAAAGAGGGGAAGCTGTAGACACCCAATTTCATCCGGGGGGCATACAAACAAAGAAATGGACGTCTATTATTAAGGAAAAAAACTCCCAAAGCAGGAAAATAACAAGATAGGACATCAGAGGGTCGAAAGCCCAAAACAACTGGTTTTAGTGGCCCCGGAACGGGCCGTTCCGAGCCACCTAAAAGGCTTAATGACTCTTGGTTGGAACGGGCCGTTCCAGACCAAAACGGGCCGTTCCAAACCAATTAAAAGGCCTAAAAAAACTTGGTCTGGAACGGGCCGTTCCTAAACCAGAATGGGTCGTTCCAAACTATTAAAAAGGCCTAAAAACTTAGTTTGGAACGGGTCGTTCTAAGTAAGGGAACATAGTGTTAATCTCAACTCCGGAACGGGCCGTTCTCAGTTTAGAACGGATCGTTCTCAGGTACGTGATTAACACACAACGTTCGGATCTAGAATGGGCCGTTCCGATTTTGGAACGAGCCGTTCTGGAAACCTTTATGATGCCTATAAATAGACAGCTTGGGCACAGTTCTCAAGGCCTCAAAAATTTTGTCCAAGACTCCTTAGAGCTCGAAATTTCTCTCTTTCCTATTGTATTTCTTGAATTTTGTGAGGCATATTGTAGTGTGAAAGGTTGCTGCAAAACACCTAAAATCTCCATAGTTGAAGATCTAATAAAGCTTGCTACGAGGTATTACTCATTAATCTCTTGTTCTATCTTTCTCTTCTTTTATTTCATATATTGCTATAATAAACGCAATCATGTAGATATCTTTGGGTTCATCGTGTAATTTAGTTTTCATGTAAATAATCATTAATAAAGGGGATTAAATATTTAAATTATTAATTCTTATTACGTTATTTTCATCATAGGATACCGATTTAGGGCGTTGCAGGGGTGCTTAATACCTTCCCTACATGTAACCGACCCCCGAACCCAATTCTGGTTATCAAGGCCATTATTGGACTTTTAAAAACCATTTCTTTTTCCAATGTTTTGAGTAAAACATTGGTGGCGACTCCATGAACCTATTTTCAAAACCATTAATTAAGGATTAGTATGGTGTCCGGGCATTCCTTAATTGATGAGATCTTTAAAAGGATGTCTAAACCATAGGTCGCAAGATCGGAAATTTTTGGGTTGCGACAGGCCCATGAGCCAAGGGCCCAACTACTAGGACAATGGCCAAGAGGATACATGAAGAATGGGTTAGTGCTAAAGAAAAGCCCATAGTTCTTTTTAGTTGGGCTATAACCTAAAAGTAGTTTAGGTTTAGGCCCAATGGGCTTGAACTTTCTTGGACCTTGTATTTTGGGTCATTTAGGTTAGGTGTAATTTTCGGCCATGTAATTAGGCCATTTATGATTCATTACATGTGAATTTGAGTTTCATGTAATTTAAGGTACATTTAGTGATGGAACAAGCTTGAAGAACGGTTGATGATTCTTCAAGTTCCACCTTCAATCCCTTTCTTCTTAGTGCAAACTCGATACATCAAATTAAAAGCACTTAAAAACTAGTAATTGTGCAAGAAGACTGGGGGGCAAAACACTCCCAAATTGACGATTCAAACACCGAGAGTTCCCCATGGGAAAGGGACAACTGTTGGGATAGGAGGAATGATCAAGAATGAATGAATCC